TGTGTGTGTGTGTGCATGCGTCTGTGCGTGCGTGCGTGCGTGCGTGCATGCAGGCGTGAGCGCGTCGCGCGTGTGTGTATATAATCATATGCGCCTACTATCTATTCTAAGCAACGTGAAGCGTGAATATCTCAAACATACGTCAAACAATTTCTTCTCGTTTCTAGCAAAACCTGTCAATGTCTCGTATCCCAACATCTTTCCATTATTCATTAACTCACTCATGAATCACTCTCATCAGCATTCTCCCGAAGAGTTCTCCAAATCCTCCTCATAACACGATCATAACACATCCACCTTTCACCCTTCCTGCCATGCATGTTAGACCTAGAGAGTAACTCCCTTTTCAGGAGCTGTGTACCACTACACACAATGGCAGCCATTGATAACCCCGGAAACGGATGTAGGTGCCCAGTCTACTTCCGGTACAAAACTCAACATTCTATTTAACTCTCTTTGTCCGTACTTTCTCCCTGCATCGCAGATATATCCACGTATATTACAACTACCATACTCTATTTTCTTTCAGTCACTATTTAACCTTCGGTTGGGGTTAGCCGGTTCGAGGAAGCCTGCGGAATGGTTATTATGGAATATAATATAGGGGTTTTTAGTACTGCTTTGTTACCTGTTGAATGCGCAAATAGTTCGTGTCACTTTGTGTTTGATTCATTACCGCAGCTTTTTCATTTCTAGACTGATTCAGAAACCACACACAAAGAGAAAAAAGACACACACACACACATACACACACACTCTCACACACACACACACACACACACACACACACACAGAGAGAGAGAGAGAGAGAGAGAGAGAGAGAGAGAGAGAGAGAGAAACACACATACACCCACACGCACGCACACACACACACGCACATAATATGCTCACCCATATATACACGCACGTACACACACTCTGATTTACATTTAAAATACACACTAATTAATGTGTCCTCCAGGTTAAAATATAGGTTCATATTGAGAGAAGTCAACCTTTTATCGAAGTATAAAAAATAATTACTTACAGATCGAATGCAATAGGCACGATTTACTCATCATAACTAGTTACCTGATGGCATCCAAATGTGAATGGTAATTAGACAGTCACCCTTGGGTTAAGTTTCACCTTTTTAAAAAGAAGTATCACCATTTTAAAAGTAGCACCTCCGATTATTTGCACATTATTGCAAATGGATTGCACAAAATGACACATTTATATCATGCACCGAGATATATCCTCGGACAAGATGAAAACACATCATTTCATTTTTTAGTCGAACATTTTTGTTTATTCATAAATGATTCAACGGAGAGCAGCACATTATATTATCATTATCTCTTCATCAAAACAAACAACATTATATTCTTTAAAAGTGGTCTGAAAAAATTCACCCTTTTTTCAAGAAAAGAGCCATGACACTGCTCGTTTTAAAAAAAATAAAAGACCTAATAATATCTAATAATATTTGAATCACATACCCGCACTCATTGTCCCACTCAAATATCAAAGAAAACAATGTAGAAGTAGGATCTGTCTCATTCTTTTTGGCTTCGGGTTCTGTGTTCTCCAGGTTATGGCATGAATAGGATGCGTTGTTCTCTAGTACTAGCTAGTAGCTAGGTCTTTTATTTTGTCCGGAGTCTTCAAATTTTGGCTGGTGGGGCAGGTGCTGGATTTTTAGTTTTAGTAGAGGTTGTTACGGCGCTGGCAGTTGCTAAGATCATATGAGCGCCCGAAGATTAGAGGTGTTACAAGAGAGTAACAAACATAAAAAAGAAAAAGGGGAGAGAAGGACGATAGATGTTCGATAGGAAAGAAGAAGCAAACCACACCAGAGCACCCGCCAACCACCCACGGTGCTAGATTGATAGAAAGTTTGATGTAAATGGATAAGAAACAGTAATTTTTTATTTAAATGGTGAAGGGAGAGCAACAGATATTGCAACAGTTATTTGAATATTTTGAGTATTCTTGATATTAAAGATAGCTCTATTTTGTCACCTGTTTGATTAAACACAATAAGTAAGCAAAGGTGCACAAGTAGCTTCTTCGTCTTCGTTATCGATAAATAATGCGCAAATGCCACATAAGGGCAAAGGAGAGTAAAGTGTTTATAATAGTCGGCAATGGAAGTTCATCATACTGTTCAAAGATCAACAAAGTTTTATTTAAAGGTAATTGTTGCATTTTCGAGTTTCATTTCATCCGTGGGTCGTGTTGTTAAATGCTTTTTAAAATAAAATCCCTGTGCCACTGTTGCTATGGACAATGAATAGCTTTTACGAATCAACCAACTAGCAGCAAGCCCCCCCCCCCCCCAACCCCCACCCCCGAAATAAATAAAGAAAACTGGTTGTATCAGTAACCCCTATCAGACAGTAAGCGACCAATGTTAAAAGAAATCTGAGGTGTGCTGACAAAATGAGTTACATCTTGGATTCGAGTCCTATGGGTATAGATTCATCACGCTAACTGATGAAGATTTTACAATTTGAAAGTATGAAACAATAAAAGACGTGTTATGCTTAAAGAATATGGCATAAAAAGAAAATCTTCAAATTGATCCTAGTGTCGATTTTTTAAAACCAATATCTCGATTTGTAGGTTTCGAGAAATAACTCATTTTGTCAGCACACCATGTTCAGTCGTCTTTTTGTTTCAACCATTTAATGCAGAACATTTTTAAAGATTAGCCCTTTTGAACAGATAAAGTCTGTTATTATAAATTTAATTTTTGATTTAAAAAACACAAAAATCTTTCAATGTGTTACCTTAACTTTAATTCAAAAGTTCATTAACGTTAGCAGGAATTTTTTTTTTAGATGAGGATATTTCAGAATTATAACTAGTGCCTTTGCATGGCAGTGTTTCCATTGGTTGAGGCATGTGCATGGCATCTTGGGGGATGACATAATAAGGTCTGACGGTAGAAGGTAAATATATTTTAGTTCCTTCATTTCTTGTCTTGTGGCATCGGTAGCCTTGTGGTTAGGCTGCCGGACTCGTAATTGTGAGATTGCGGGTTTGGGGGTTCGAGCCTCAGCTCGGTCCGACGTTGTGTCTTTGGGAAAGACACTTTACACGAATTTCCCACTTGGCTCGGTCCTTTCGGAGACGGACGTTAAACTAGGAGGCCCCGCCTCTTAACTAACCTACTAGTGTTGCTAGGAGCGTTAAGCCCATACCATTTTCACTATTTCTTGTTTGGATATGGTTTATTTTTGCAACGAACAAAGAGTTTTATTGTCACGCTCTTAAATGAAGCAGATAAAAACATGAAGCCTTTGCAGCTCAATTATTTATCTATATAACCGATATTTGTTTCCCAGTACACGCACATCCATCTCCTGTAAAACATTGCGTTTTTGTTTAAGAGGCGGGCAAAGGCTGTTATTCTTTAGTTTTGTAATTTTAGAATTTCTTTTTGTGAACGACGGATAGGGGGAAGGGGGGGGTGTTTTGGGCGAGCAAATCGTTTTGGAGATAAGGGGTTCATTTCTGTAAATACTAAACATTGCTTTACCAATTCATGGGAAACCGTTTACCATTCACGTGTCTATTTACTGCTAAGTGTTATTTGTGTAAAAAAAAATTCAACACCCAACATGGTTGATAATTCCATGTTTGCACAAAATTAATGAGCTGTTGTACAAAAATGAACCTCTCTCATTCTTCTAATGTTCTACTCTCCTTGTATCATGTAATCACCCATGGTTCTTTTCTTCGGCTTTACGGTTATTACTAACATAACCAACTCTCTTGCATGTGTCAACTGTGGTTGTACAGGTTTGTTTTGTCAAATTATGACAAAGGTTTTTTTTTCAGCGAGATACCCCGTATGTATTCAGGTAGTGTTTCTTTCAGAGGCATGATACTTTAGTATTTAGGAAGTATTTCTATCGGAGGCATGATATTTAAGCATTTAGGAAGTGCTTCTTTTAGAGGTGTGACATTTAAATATATGTAGTGTTTCTATTACAGGTATGACACTTTTAAAGTATAAAATAGTATCGAGGAAGTGTTTCTATCAGAAGCATGTTACTGAAGTATCTAGGTAGTATTTCTATCAGAGGTATGATACTAGGTAGTCTATCAGAGGCATGATACTAGGTATTCTATCAGAGGCATGATACTAGGTAGTATTTCTATCAGAGGTATGACACTTAAGTATTTAGGAAGTGGTTCTTTCTGCTGCATGTCCTTTAGCTGTTTGGGAAGTGTTTCTTTAAGCAGTGAAATGACATGTACATTTTTCGGATAGAAAGGTTGAGAGGACTATATTTCTCGCAAAAATGTAGTGGGGATTATATCGCATACTGTCCTTGTTTTAGGAATAACGATAGTTTTGCACGCTGTTTTATTTGTTGAAGTATAATATTATGTATGTTGTATTTTTTATGAGACCCTTCCTTGCTTAAATTAGTTTTATGATGTACTGCGTTGTAAGGGACCCTTGTTCGAGTCCAGGAAGGGGGCGACTTTAACATTTAGTTTTCTGATACTTTAGAAATAAATAAATACATAAATACATAAATACATAAATTACACTTTTATTTGTCCCAGAAGGGCACTTTGGTTTACCGTGGCAAACATACATATACATACATAAATACATAATCATAAATGCCTAATACATAAATACACGCATAAATACATACGTAAATACACAATATTAAACAAATACAGAACAGTTTACAACCATGCCACTGTCGGTCGCCACTGTGCAGCACCCTGTATTTTGAGCTATGGTTGTCGTGTCTTGCTCAAGGACACACCCCAGTGACCACCCATCTGATCTGATCCCCGTGTCACCGACACTTGCTTGACATTACTTGAGTCTAAACTCACTACTCACTTAGCCACTGGAG